CGCAGCAATCCCCCCCCAGGGACTCACTCCTCTGGCTGCAAATTCTCCCAGCACCACTCCCGGGGCCCTGGAAAGGAAGCCGGGAGTGCTGCCTTCCAGCAGGAAACACGACGAGGGCAGAGATGTCAAATCCTCTCCCCCTCCAGTGTCCCCTCAAAGACAGGGAGAGAAGCTGGCCTGCGACAGCTAATGCCTCTGAGGAAAAGGGAGAGCCAGGACCAGCCCCTACCTGGCCAGAGCGACAGAGAAGGGGCACCGCGTGCGATTGCTACATGGCACTAGGGCTTTGCTGCCGGCGTCGGCGGGGACAGGAGAGTTTCTGCTGCATGGAATCAGCAAGGCTGGCTGGCGAGCCGGACACGGTGGGGAAGTGGGTAAGTCTTGGTGTGTGTGGCAAGATTTCAGCAGAGGATTCATAGCTGCAGGAGAGAGAGGAAGCAGGAGGGGACAGGGGGAAGATGAGGACAGAAAGGAAAAGGAGGGAGAGAGAGAAAAAGCAGAAGAGTTTTGGAGTGAGACTACTGCAAACCCACCACCCTGCGCAAGCAGCCTGCTGTCCCCTTGCTAGCTCAGGCTGGGGTGGTCCTGGGGCCATGCTGGCAGGCTCCTGCCTGCGCTCCCCTTGCCTGCAGGCCCTAGGGCAAGGCTGCAGCATGGAAGAGGGAGGGCTGAGACCTGGGGAGAAGGCAGCTCCCACTGGCATGGGTAGAGCCAGGCAGCTGGAGCCCATGGGAGAACAAGCCTGGGCACTGGGAAGGCAGCAGCAGAGTGGCCCAGGTGGTGTGCAGGTGCGGGCTCCCCCCTGCCACTCGAGGACAGCGTGTCTGCAGCACGTGTGAGCGGCAGGATGAGCTTCCCACTGCTGACGGTTGACAGAGGTAAAGCGAAGGTATCTGTCGGCCCAGAGAGGCTCAGCAAGGCTGAGAGCTGCGAAACTGATTCTGATGTCGCCCACCTCTGCTCCATTGGCACCCCTTCCCCAGGCCCACAGCACAGATCTGCCCACTCCCACACTCCCCGCAGCACTGCCCGTACTCGCCACTGCATCAGACCCTCGCTGCCTTCTCCCAGGGCAGCCCATGGCCCCTGCAAGACCACCATGAGCAGGTAGCTCACTGCGTGCAGGCAGCTGGCTGGCAGAGACCACAGAGGAGCTGCCAGCTCCAGGCTGCCACCAGCACAGGGAGGAACAGGGTGCACCGGAGCCACGCAGGGAAGCTGCACCTGGTGGGATTCCTGCGGTGGGAGCCACTGCCCTCCAGGCACAAGCCCCGTCTCGTCCCACTTCCTCTGCCTGCAAGCGGAGTGACTTAGGGGGGTCCACCCCCAGGGTCCACCAAAATTGCAACCGCCCGTCCTCCTGCGTGCTTGCCTGGGCAGTGCTTGGCAAACAGCAGTGGGCAGCGATCTGATGCTGGAGCAGCTTGTGCTAATGCTCTGCAGGGGCATTAGCCCCCAGTGTCCGGCTGCCAGGGTCCCTGGCTGCCTTGCTGCCAGGCGGGCCAGACTCACAGCTCGTCTCTCCCCAGTTTCCTGGCGCGGGAGGTGTTGCTGCTGTCAGCTGGTGAGTCACGGCACTGGGGAGAGCGGCTGCAGGATCCCAGGTGCACAGGAAGGACGATCCCAGGACACTCAGTGCCTGCAGCAGCGATCGTCAGAAGCAAACATCCAAGGACGGGCAGGGGCGGCAGGGCGGGGCAGGGTGTCAATGGCTTGGGAGCCATCCCAGCTGACAGCCCGGTGGGAACACGCATACCTGCATCTCCCAGGGGAGGGGAAGGACGCGAGGGCAGCTGCGCCCCAGTAGGGTGCTGTCTTCTCTCTGAGCAGGCTGGGGGCTCGGGCAGGCCCCCCCAGGCAGGGGCACCCCCGGAGCAGGGAGGCTGGGGGGTGCACGGCCCTGTTTTGGGACAGATGTTCCTTTCCCTCTTCTGCTTCAGCCATCCTCAAACAAGCAACTGCACTGGGCCACCACTGAGCCTCAAGTACAACCAGCCAAGCACAGTGGAGAAACAGTTCCCAGGCGAGCCAGGCCATGCTCCACGCAGCTCAGAGGGGACAGGCCAGGCAGGAGACCAAAGCTACCCATTGGCAGCAAATAGGCAAATGCCTGGAGCATGGCAGGATGATGGGCTGGAGTGCAACAGCACAGCATGGACCCCTTTGCACCTAGAGTCCCCAGGGCAGGGAAGACGGCTGCAAACCAGGATGCTTTACTGAGCGAGGAGGCTGGGATGTGCTAGAACCAGCCCTGGCTGCTCTTGCAGCCAGATCCGGCTCTGTTCTCCCCCACCCACGGGCCCTGGGACACAATGACCAAGTATCTCGGCACCAGGTGTGCGGTCCCGCCCTCCCCTGCCTGCCAGCGCATGGGAAGAGTTTGTCACCAGGGTGTAAAGCAATACCAGATGCTGCCTGCGTGTTGGTACCGCACCAAAGCTCCCACCCGGCTACGTGGAGGTGGCTGGAGCCAGGGCCAGCGTGTACAAACACAGACCCACTCCACCCATGCACGTGCATTCACACACCCAGAGCATGCCCAGATGAACCTGGCCCTCCAGCTGTGCCTAGGCATGGGAACATCTGCACACTTCATGCACTCCAGCGCCACGGGCAAAACAGCTCCATCCCCAGCTGACACTCACCTGAACATTTCAGTTACTTCTCCCTTTGCCAAGGCCACAAGAAGTGGGAATCCGATGCATGCGGGGACTAGGTACAGAAGAGCAGGCTGTTGGGATGAAAAACAACTATTAAACCAAACCACACATCACCCCTCTGGAGAAGCACAAGGTAAGCTGGCCCTGTCCCCTCTGCACCCGTGGTGTCTGTCACAGTGCTGCACAGATGATTAATGCCCCAGAAAGTGGCTTCGAGAGCTAAGTTACAGCTGCAGCAGCACAAAACCCTCACCGTGAGGTCCCAGCGGGCCACGAACACACCGAGGGGCCCCGTGCAGACCAGCAACAGCACCCATGGTGTGTGGGCTCCCAGAGCCTTCAGCGGCAGCATTGTTGCAAAAAGCCACAAAACAACAGGGCAGCCCGGCCAAGGTGCTGTTGTTGGAAACGCAGCTGCCTGAACCAGCCTTGCCCCAAACAGGACTCTGATCAAGCCAGGCACACAAGCTTTGGGCAGGGAAAGGTACAAGCAGGCACTGGAAAAGCAAAGCCAAGAAAAGGAATGCATCTACTTTTTCCTGGCATGATGCAGGAACCTCGTGGCCAAGCTGGCGTGTCCCGCTTGGGACATGCATCTGCGGGAGGCAGCATGGCACAGCTCACCTGGGCGTGCTTGAAGATGTGCATGATGAATATGGTCAGGCCCAGCCCGAAGATGTAGGCCACAAAGCTGGTGTAGAAATACGTATGCGTGTTCTTCTTCAAGCTGCAGGGAAAGGGAGCAGAGCCCAGTGACCTCAGGTCTGGGATGCCAGTGACCGAAACAAAGCCAGCCCAGCACTCGTAGACATCTCCCACTGTGCTAGGAGCTCTGCTCTGCCTGTGCTCTTGGGCTGACACAGAGACTGCCATCAGCACAGCCCCCAGTCCCATGGGAGCAGTGCAGGACTGGGTGGGGTGACACCCAGGTGAGGGGCTGGGAAAGGGAAGGAGACACACGATTCTGCTGCTGGATGGCTACTGCGGGGGAAGAATCGGTGCTGGGACCCAGGGAGAGGGTCCCACCTTCTTGGGGGAGGCATGGCCAGTCCCTGGCACCCCACTCTCAGCACGTGCTGCTTTATCACAGGGCAGGCTGTGGGAACTGGGATTCTCAGCAGGTGCAGGAAGATGTGGGTGGAAACACCTGGAAGAGCTGGCAAAGACTGGAGGGTCTGTGCAAGAGCAGCGGGAGTGGGGCCACACCACCACCGTCGCACAAAGCGTCCCATTCCCGGCAGCTCCCCAGCTGGGGACTTTTGGTATGAGGCAACAGGTGAAAGCTACACCCTGGTGGTAGGTGCACCTTCCCTGTGTAGGAAGGAGCAGCTTCCTCCAACGGCAACCCAGAGGCAGCCAGCACAGCCGCACACCGATTTGCATCCACGCAAGCACTTCCCAGGTGGCAGCACCCCTGGCTCTTTCCCACACTGTTTCTGATTCCCCTCACTGCCGTAGCATAGCTGCCCTCTCTTCAGTGCCAGGGAGCCAGTGAGGCTCTGTGGGGCCATTACATGCTGCCTGCCCTGCTGTGCGTACAGCAACACCCATGAGCTCGAACAACTCAATAGTGCTCAGGATTTACCCACAAAGCCAGCCCTGCTCACATCTACTCTTCCAAGAGCCTCCCCTTGCACCACCCCTGTCCCAGCCACTCTCCTGGGTCCCCATGCCAAGCCCCGGAGGGGAACACACAACTGCGCTCCTGATTTCCCCTTCCCCTTTTTCCTCTACAAAAGCAGCTCAAATATGTTGCAAGATCCAACCTGCCGGAGCCCCTTCCCTGCCGCCCACTCACCTGATGTCAAACCGCAGCAGCAAGGCAATGAAAATCCCTGCGGGGAGAAGGGGACAGTGAGGGGATGGAGGTTGCAGGGAAGGCTGAGGGAGGCAGGGCAGGACCTGCAGCGGCTCCCGGTGCTGTGCCTGGGCTGACAGTGCCCTCTCGCGGCACAACGCACTGGGACAGCACTTGGACTTGGGGGGGGCGGGGGGAGACCCCCAGCCCATGCAGCCCCCAGACCCAGCAGGAGGCTCGCAGGGCTCCAGCACGGCCAAAGGCAGAGCAAGGCACCCGCTCAGCTCCTCGCAGCCCGTCCAGACAGGCGACCCCGGTCATGTCCCCCCTCTTCTGTCCTTACCTGGAATGACAATGTCTCCCAGACCCAGCATGGCAAAATTGTCGGCCTCCAGCCCCTTCTCCAGCAGGTCCTGAGGGAAAACCACTACAAGGAGCAGAGAGAGGAACAGTGAGGGGGGAGTGTCTGTGCTGAGCAGAACTCAGCACTACTGTGCCTGGTGAAAAGGGATTGGAGCAGGGCAAGGCCCATCAAGGCCCCTGTCCCTGCCCTCGGCCCCCTCCTCTCCTGCAGCTCCCCCACCCCCTTCTCCTTCCTGGGACAACTCAGGGGCTGGAAACTGAGGGGCTTGGGGCCAGCCTCATGTGAAGGCTTCAGCCCCAGCTTGCAGGACCCAAATCACTGCGTGCTCCACAACAGCAGAAATTCACCCCTCCTGCTGTTTTTTTTTGGAGGTTTTGTTTGTTTTGTTTTTTTTCTTTTCTTATGAGCAGGTGAAATTACTCGCTCTGGGGGTGCAGACCATCCCAGCCAGCTCAGGGCTCTCCAAACCATCCCGCTCCAGAGACCTGGCCCGGCTCCCTGCAGGTCAATCTAAGGGGTCTCTAGCAGGAAACCTTCCTGCACACATCCCACCTTCTGAGCCATCTCTAGAAGGCAGACAGTACACAGACAGCCCCTCCTCCAGCACACAGGGAAGATCTACTCACGTTTTATTGGGGCCTCAAACGATTTGGCAACTGTCACCATCACATTGGTGCCAAAGACCTAGGGGCAAACAGAGGAGTCCAGAGTGACCACAGCTGCACAGGGATGCACGCATGCTCAGCTACAGCCTCACCTCAGGGCTTGGAGCAGCCTCAGTGGCAGAAAATAGCCAAAGAGCCACCAAACTGTGGGCAGAGGAGTCCTGCAAGTGAGCCCACCACTCGGGGCAGAAGGCACAGGACAGCGCTCGAGGAGGTGAGCACGTCACAGCCGTCCTGCTTTCACAGCAGTGCCAGTGAGACCGCTCACATCAGAGTCACGGTGCTGCCTATCACCTGGCCATCCCCAGCACCTACCCCCGTGGGTCAGTTCAGCTCTGATTAGTCAACTCAGTGAAAAGCCTGACCACTGCGCAGGATGTTATCTGAGGGCAGGAGCTCCCAGCAGACAGTCCCAGCCAGCGTCAGGCTGCTGCCCCTAAGCTTCCAACAGGGACCGGAGCAATTGTCAGATCAGCTGCATTTTGCTCTGAGGTCATTTATTTGTACTGCACTATCAGCTGTAAATACTGGTATCGTTTGGGGGTGGACTGTAAACACACAGGTCAACCACTCTTTATTTCTGTTCCATCTCTGAGCCTCCAGTCTTGGCTGTACCAGCAGCAGGCACATAAACCAGATGCTGGTTAGCACCAGGTGAGCAACATCCTCGAGCTAAGGATTAAAGAGAAACCTTAAAGCAAGCACTGGGCATCAAATTAACTCCCATGAAGTGCAGCAAGCTCTGGGCATCGCCACAGAGTGACAGGACTCCACACCGGGACCAGGGAAAAGCATCACATGCAAATTCAACCCAAGACTACACAGGTGGCAATATCATCAATCCACTGAGCAGTTCTCCCTCCTTGAAACCCTCTTTGGATCTCACGGTGATTAAATCCACGCTAAGATCCAAGCAACCGGTCCCTGCAGAGGGACACAGTAAGAGGGTCTCCACTTCAATATGCCTCTTCCGTGAGGCTCCGGCAACACACTGACCTGCCGAGGAAGCTGAGGCAGGAGACAGTCGGCAAGCAGAGAGCAGCGAGGGTTGCACTCTCACTGTGTCCGAAGTACCAGGAATACACTCACACCCCAAGCAGGGCACGAGGCACTGGGTGCACTAAGCCAGAAGGCTGAATCCTCTACAGCTGAGAGCAGCAGAGGAAGTGGCACACAGGCTAACGAACCACAGAGCTGAGACTGTTAACGAGCCTATGAAACAGGGGTAGCACTGGCCAAGTACAAAATAACACAGTAGCCAGACTTAAATAGGGAAGGATTACTCAGGCAGCTGCAGAGCTGCTGGACAGACCTCAAGGTATACAAGGCTCTCAGACATTTGGAAACACAGTAATTCAGAAGGTGGAGGCAGGAGGAATAT